ATTGAATGTCGGAGGACAGGACTGGGATCTTGGCAGGCTGGATTGCTGCCAAGCCTGATCTGTGTTTATTGCTGCATGAGCTTGTCTGAGTTGCTGCCAAGGTCCTTATCTGTTTGTTTTGCTTGGCTTTCAGCCACTGAGGTTTTGGTGTCTTGTTATTAAAGGACATTCCAGTTAAGCTTGTCTCGGCATTCGTTACTGGAGGGAGGAGGGGGTCAGAACAGTGAAGGGTATATAAATCTAAGTTCTATTGCTATAGTACTCCAACAGAAATTAATCTGAAAGATTCTAGGGAGTGGTGATCCTGAACCTCTTCCCATTTTGTTTGTTTTTTTCATGTTCAGGCCCCTTACAAAGATCCTAATTGTCCTTTCAGAGTGCAATTTGCCCAACCGCTCCAGCCTTCCCAGTTCTTTGCTGTGTGGCTCAGCCAGTGTCCTACTGCAAGATTTGCCCACAGACAGCGACGGAGGATGGTTTGATTGCAAACAGCACTTTGGCAAATCTATTGTTGTTGTTGTTTTTGTATTTCAATATCTCCCTTCCTTTTCCTTCCGAGACGTATTATGCAAGCGAGGGCCAGCAAGTTTTAACCTTTTGTTTTGCTGTGGCTTCCATGGTGCCACTCAGATACACAATCAATCCAAGGCCTTCCCAAGGTGCTTTTGTACCCGTCCATTCCAGGCACGGGAGTAAAACATTGATCTTAAAATTGCCATGGCTTGTTCGGAGACCGGAGTACAACTTTAAACTCTATACCAATCTTTTTTTCTTTTCTTTTTTACTGCTAATAGGCAAATTACATATTCTACTTTTGGGCTGGCTAAATTTACATTTCTCCTTATGCAGTTTACAATAGAGCGCTCGATGTTTTTCCAACATTGCTTTTGGCAGCAATTGTTTCTGTGGATGTGCCCCAAATGAAGGCAGCATTATTACCTTAAGTGCTTTCTCAGGTGAAGGGCCTGGGCTTCCCTTAGAAGTGCTTTCTCAGATATTTTTGAAAACCAAAGCGCAGCCTTCAAAAGCAGGATGGGTCTAGAAAAAAATGCAAAATATCTGAATAGAGCTGGAAGGGACCTCGGAGGTCTTCTAGTCCAGCCCCCTGCTCAAGCAGGAGACCCTATACCATTTCAGACAAGTCAGTTGCATGGACCTTGCTTGCCTACTGTAACTCAGGGTTCAGGCACACCTAACATTAGGTGTTATGCAGGAACTAGGTATGGCTAGCTGTTCTGACACA